CAGAGACGTAAATATTAATAAAAAAAAATGTTAATAATACGTAATAATGAAAATGTTAATAATACGTAATAAAAAAAAAGTTAATAATAAGTAATAATGAAATAATATTACGTAAATATGTAAGCAGTAAATATATAAATGACATAAGAATGAATAAAATAAATAATATAAATAGTAGAAACAAGCACAAAAATAAAGTAAATATTAATAAAAAAATGTTAATAATACGAAAAATAGAAAAATAAAGTAAATATTAATAAAAAAATGTTAATAATACGTAATAATGAAATAATAAATACGTGAATGAGTAAGCAGTAAATAATAATGAAATGATAGTATACTTATTTACGTATTATATTTACGTATTTATTACAAATATTAATAAATAATATTGATAATATGTAATAATGAAATATTAAATACGTAAATAAGTGAACAGTGAATATGTAAATGACATGAAAATAAAAGAAATATAAACAATAGAAAAAAAATACAGAAATAATAAGTATATTTATATACATATATATATATACACATTCACTTATATTATTTGAGTAATAAATACATATATCGAGAGAGAGATAATTTTCCTTGCAGCAAATACGATATATATATATATGTGTGTGTGTGTGTGTGTGTGTGTGTGTGTGTGTGTGTGTGTGTGTGTGTATAAATAGCTTATTGTGTGCGTGTATATGTATACAAATGTATACATGTGTGCGTGTGTGTGTGCACCAAGATAATTAAAGTCTTATGTCCTAGAAAAATTCTTTTATATATATATATAAATTATATATATATATATATATATATATTATGCATATATATATATAATTTGCATGAAGCAAAAGGCGCGATTTGCATGTCCTGATTTACGCACATGTAATCTTTTATTATTTTATACAATAATGAAAATATGTAGTAAAAGCTAGTAATAAAACCTACATTTAAAGATAGAAAAATACAAACCAAGTTCTTTCTATGGCAACGTGTGAAAATACTGTATTTCTGACGTAGATACAATCGAATTAATGTATTGTTAGTTTCAGATTATTAACATATCGAAATGAAATCTAAAATATTAAAGATATATTCACTAACAAGTATCCTTATTACCGTGGTTTTTTTTTTTATCATTATCATTAGTAATCTTTTATCATCATTATCATTATTATTATGTTTAATTGTTGCTATTATCATTATTATCTTTATTCTTGCTATTATCATTATCATCAGTGTTTTATCATTATCATTATCATTGCTGTTGTTGTTATTATTATCATCATCATTTTTGCTATTATCATCATTATTATGTTTTTTTTATTGCTATTACCATTATTCTTATCTTTATTGTTGCTATTATCATTATTATCATCTTTATTATTGCTATTATTATTATTATTATTATGTTGTATTACCAGTATTATCATGTTTATTGTTGCTATTATCATTATTATCATCATCATTGTTGCTATTATCATTATTAATCTTTATTCTTGCTATTAACATTATCATCATCATCTTTATTTTTGCTATTATCATTATTAACATTTTATCATTATCATCATCTTTATCAAAGTTTTATCGTTATCATCTTTATTATCATCACTTGGCACAAATAATTATTGATTATCTTGTACGTGTCATTATCTCCATCGGTTTCGGGTAATTACTGTAATTAATTAAGAGTAAATAATATTAATTGAGAGTAATTGAGAGTAATTAAGTGATTATTAATTATTATTATTATGATTATTAATTATGATTGTTAATTATTATTCATTTCTGAAATTATGGCCATCGTTAGTAATGGATTCCTGTGTCGTTATGATCATAATTGTCGTTATTGTTAATGTTATTGTTGTTATTGTTGTTCTCTCTTCCAAGCATCAGGAAAATGGCCGAAACAAAGAGGTAAAGAAGAGAGAGAAAAGTTTCCGCTGTTTCTGTCTGTCTTTGGGCTCTTTTTCCTTGGTCTCTCTCTCTCTCTTATTCTCTCTTCTCTCTTATTCTCTCTTCTCTCTTATTCTCTCTTCTCTCTTATTCTCTCTTCTCTCTTATTCTCTCTTCTCTCTTATTCTCTCTGTCTCTATCTGTCTCTCTTATTCTCTCTGTCTCTATCTGTCTCTCTTATTCTCTCTGTCTCTATCTGTCTCTCTTATTCTCTCTGTCTCTATCTGTCTCTCTTATTCTCTCTGTCTCTATCTGTCTCTCTTATTCTCTCTGTCTCTATCTGTCTCTCTTATTCTCTCTGTCTCTATCTGTCTCTCTTATTCTCTCTCTCTCTATCTGTCTCTCTTATTCTCTCTCTCTCTATCTGTCTCTCTTATTCTCTCTGTCTCTATCTGTCTCTCTTATTCTCTCTGTCTCTATCTGTCTCTCTTATTCTCTCTGTCTCTATCTGTCTCTCTTATTCTCTCTCTCTCTATCTGTCTCTCTTATTCTCTCTCTCTCTATCTGTCTCTCTTATTCTCTCTGTCTCTATCTGTCTCTCTTATTCTCTCTCTCTCTCTCTCTCTCTCTCTCTCTCTCTCTCTTATTCTCTCTGTCTCTCTTATTCTCTCTCTCTCTCTCTCTCTCATATGGATCAATATATCTTCAATCATGCAATGAATATTAAGCAATTTGATCCATTTTAGTCCATCACTTTGTCTCCCCCCTCCCCCCCCTTTCCCCCACTCCTCCTCCTCCCCCTCCCCCTCCCACATCTTATTTGAATTCCCGAGAGAAATTAATGCAAAAATGAATGAGAAAATTGGGTAAAAATGCCGCCGTGCTCATTTTTTAAATATTTTTTTAGGGGGATTGTCTCTGCACATAGATGGCTCTGCTGGTGCTTTAGTCTCAAAGGGAGTCAGTTCGTCGACCTTGTGACCTGACCTGATTTCGCCTTTCCTTGAATTGGCGGAAAAAAAACGTATTTTCTTATACTAATGCTTTAAGTATTGGTGCTATTTTAATTATAAGTATTATAATTATGTTATAAAGATTAGTAACAGCATAATAAGATAACGTAAAATAATTTTCGTAAATTAAAGAAAAGGGTAAACAAGCGAGACAGTACTCTTAACTGGCTCATTGGTGACTTAATACAAGCATAGCCATCTATGTATAAAAAACAATCAAACAAGTAAACTCACGGTGGGCATGGCATGGCATGACACGTACGTACGTGTCACGCCCGTAGGCATTGGATTTATCTCCCTTTTATTTATGTCGGTGTGAATTCGTAAAGTTACTGGGTTAATCTATTCGGTTTTCCCCTTGGGTTTTACGTCATTATTTTGCTTAATTATTACTTGCCAAATTATTGTTATGAATTGTTGATATTATGTCTTTATTTCGCCGAATTGGTATCTGATTATTCTCGGTGGTATGGATTCGTAAGCAACATTGGTTTAATCGCCTTTATATATCCGTAAGTACGAATTCGCAACTTTGCCAAATTGATCTGCTTATTTCCGTTAGCTGTAAGTCACTTCTCAACCCCCCCTTCCCCCCCTCCCCTCCCCCTGATCTCTTTGAGTCAACCCTAAGCCACGTTGTCCCAGATCCTAGCATTGTCTCGATTCGTTCTATTGATGTGGATACTTTCTGACTTCCCCCTTCCCTCCCCCCTCCCCCCTCATCTCCCCTCATCTCCCCTCCCCCATCCGTTTCGCTTGTTACCTCCCTTCCTCACTCGAGCCTCACTCGACCACCTCCTTTGTTCCGTCAGCTGAGTTTCACCCCCCCCCCCCCCCCCCCTCCCACACTTCTTGTCTTTCACTTCACCCCCACCCCCATAGCACCAAGAGTCATCCCAAACCCCATAGTAGTTGTAACCCCACCGTTCAATCGACACTATTCCATTCCGCAAACTGACAACTCTCCCTCTCGTCTCTCTCCCCCTCGCCCCTATAGCACAGAGACCCTATAGCAGACACAACCCACTGTTCAATCAACTCCATTCCGCAAACTGACTCCTCTCCCTCTCGTCTCTCTCCCCCTCGCCCCCATAGCACCAAGATACCCTATAGCATTCGCAACCCTGTGACCCTATATATAACTCTCTCTCTTTCACGTCTCCCCCCCCCCTCCCCCCCTACAGTACCAAGAGACCCCATAGTAGTCACAACCCACAGTTCGATCAACTCCGTTCCGCAAAACTGACTCCTCTCCCCATAGCACCAAGAGACCCCATAGCATTCGCAACCCTGTGACCCCATATATTCCGCAAACTAACTCTCTCTCTCTCGTCTCTCTCTCTCCCTACCCCCTATAGCACCCAGCTGAACCCCCTCGAGGCCTTGACCAAAGCTTTCAAACAGACCACAGAGGAAGGCAAGATGAGCGGCCGCGCCATGAAATACCCCTACACCCTTTCGGCCAAGTTGGCGCAGTTCCCATTCTCGTACTACGTCAAGAACCAGTGGGTGTTCAAGTACTACCTGATTGGTGTCGCCGTCTCCATTCCCGTGTTCAGCTGGTTCCAGAAGCAAGGTGAGGAGAGGCTGTTGGATAATTAGTAATAATTGTGATGATTATAATGAGGATAATGATAGTAATAATGGTGGTGATGATGATGATTAAAAAAGTAATGCTAATAATAGTAATAATAATGATAATGATAATGATTGTAATAATGATGGTGGTGATGATAATGATTGTAATAATGATGATGGTGATGATAATGATAATAAATTGTAATGATAGTAATAATAAGAACGATAGTGGTAACTATCATTATCACACACACACACACAGGGAGACAGACAGACACACAATTATTAGCCGCCTGTTTCAATATCCGTTCCCCTAGCACCTTCGTCTCTTACAGAGAGACACAGAGACAGAAACAGACACAAACAGACAGACAAGCATGTACACAAACTTACTAACTTTCATTGGCTGTTCCCTCAAATTCCTCTTCTCTTACACACACACACACACACTCACACTCACACACATACACAGTCACACACAGAGTCACACACACAGTCACACACAGTCACACACACACACACACACACACACACACACACACACACACACAAAATCAAACACAGACAGACAGAGACAAGCATACAGACAATCAATTACACACACACACACACACACACACACACACACACACACACACACACACACACACACACACACACACACACACAGTCACACACAGTCACACAGTCACACACAGTCACACACACAGACACACACAACCCCCCCCCCCCCCCCCACACACACACACACACACACAAAATCAAACACAGACAGACAGAGACAAGCATACAGACAATCAATTACACACACACACACACACACACACACACACACACACACACACACACACACACATACACACACACACACACACCCACACCCACACACCTAAAGACAGACAGACAGAGACAAGCATACAGACAATCAATTACACACACACACACACACACACGCACACACACACACACACACACACCCCCACACACACACACACACACACACACCTAAACACAGACAGACAGAGACAAGCATACAGACAATCAATTACACACACACACACACACACACACACACACCTAAACACAGACAGACAGAGACAAGCATACAGACAATCAATTACACACACACACACACACACACACAAACAGACAAACAGACAAACTGACAGACACACACAGACTCACTAACCGTCCTCGTCTCTTCCAGCTTGCTCGCCTGCCAACAAGGCAAAGTGGGAAGCGAAGGGAAAGGAAGAGCACTAAACGGGAGATGGAAGAGAATTAACGCTAAACACCGAGAGAGACGGAGGAGAGAAGAAGAGGGAATAAGGGAGAATAAGAGAAAATAAGAGAAGAAAGAAGAAGAGGAGAGAAGAGAGATGATGAAAAGGAGAGACGGATGAGAGAAGAAGAGAAGAAAAGGAGAGGAGAGTGATGATGATGAAAAGGAAAGAGACAGAAGAGAGAAGAGAAGAAAAGGAGGAGAGAAGAGAGAGACAATGATAAAAAGGAGATAGGAAAGTTGTTAATTTCTTTGTAGATATTATATTTTTTTTTTGTTTCCGGAAATGTTTTTTTCTTTCTTTCGAAGTGAAAATTTACCTTTTTTTTTTTTTTTTTTTTTCCCTCTCTCTCTATTGCGTAATATTTTAATGTTGCTGTATAAAGTTTGGAAATAAAAAATATGTAACTGAATTGTTATTCATTTTAATTTTTATTTTTGTCCTTTTCTTGAAATATATTTGCTATATCTATATTTTTATTATGTAAATGTATCCTAATTTGAATATAGTTTTTCATATATTAAAAATTTCGAATATTAGAAGGAAAATAATTATATAAATGAAAATTAATGAAGATAAGCATACTAATTGAAACTAATTATCTTCAGAAAATACTTCTTGTATCAAAATACTTTTTCTTGTCTCAAAATACTTTTTCTCGTCTCTAAATGCTTTTTCTCATCTCAAAATGCTTTTTCTCGTCTCAAAATGCTTTTTCACTTCTCAAAATGCTTTTTCTCGTCTCTAAATGCTTTTTCTCGTCTCAAAATGCTTTTTCTCGTCTCAAAATGCTTTTTCTCGTCTCAAAATGCTTTTTCTCGTCTCAAAATGCTTTTTCTCGTCTCAAAATGCTTTTTCTCGTCTCAAAATGCTTTTTCTCGTCTCAGAATGCTTTTTCTCGTCTCAGAATGCTTTTTCTCGTCTCAGAATGCTTTTTCACTTCTCAGAATGCTTTTTCACTTCTCAGAATGCTTTTTCACTTCTCAGAATGCTTTTTCACTTCTCAGAATGCTTTTTCACTTCTCAAAATGCTTTTTCACTTCTCAGAATGCTTTTTCACTTCTCAGAATGCTTTTTCACTTCTCAGAATGCTTTTTCACTTCTCAGAATGCTTTTTCACATCTCAAAAAGCTTTTTCACATCTCAAAAAGCTTTTTCACTTCTCAAAATGCTTTTTCTCGTCTCAAAATGCTTTTTCTCGTCTCAAAATGCTTTTTCTCGTCTCAAAATGCTTTTTCTCGTCTCAAAATGCTTTTTCTCGTCTCAGAATGCTTTTTCTCGTCTCAAAATGCTTTTTCTCGTCTCAGAATGCTTTTTCTCGTCTCAAAATGCTTTTTCTCGTCTCAGAATGCTTTTTCTCGTCTCAAAATGCTTTTTTTCGTCTCAAAATGCTTTTTCTCGTCTCAAAATGCTTTTTCTCGTCTCAAAATGCTTTTTCTCGTCTCAGAATGCTTTTTCACTTCTCAGAATGCTTTTTCACTTCTCAGAATGCTTTTTCACTTCTCAAAATGCTTTTTCACTTCTCAGAATGCTTTTTCACTTCTCAAAATGCTTTTTCACTTCTCAAAATGCTTTTTCACTTCTCAAAATGCTTTTTCTCGTCTCAAAATGCTTTTTCTCGTCTCAAAATGCTTTTTCTCGTCTCAAAATGCTTTTTCTCGTCTCAAAATGCTTTTTCTCGTCTCAAAATGCTTTTTCTCGTCTCAAAATGCTTTTTCTCGTCTCAAAATGCTTTTTCACGTCTCAAAATGCTTTTTCTCGTCTCTAAATGCTTTTTCACTTCTCAGAATGCTTTTTCACTTCTCAGAATGCTTTTTCACTTCTCAGAATGCTTTTTCACTTCTCAAAATGCTTTTTCACTTCTCAAAATGCTTTTTCTCGTCTCAAAATGCTTTTTCTCGTCTCAAAATGCTTTTTCTCGTCTCAAAATGCTTTTTCTCGTCTCAAAATGCTTTTTCTCGTCTCAAAATGCTTTTTCTCGTCTCAAAATGCTTTTTCACTTCTCAGAATGCTTTTTCACTTCTCAGAATGCTTTTTCACTTCTCAGAATGCTTTTTCACATCTCAGAATGCTTTTTCACTTCTCAAAATGCTTTTTCACTTCTCAAAATGCTTTTTCACTTCTCAAAATGCTTTTTCACTTCTCAAAATGCTTTTTCTCGTCTCAAAATGCTTTTTCTCGTCTCAAAATGCTTTTTCTCGTCTCAAAATGCTTTTTCTCGTCTCAAAATGCTTTTTCTCGTCTCAAAATGCTTTTTCTCGTCTCAAAATGCTTTTTCACTTCTCAGAATGCTTTTTCACTTCTCAGAATGCTTTTTCACATCTCAGAATGCTTTTTCACTTCTCAAAATGCTTTTTCACTTCTCAAAATGCTTTTTCACTTCTCAAAATGCTTTTTTCACTTCTCAAAATGCTTTTTCACTTCTCAAAATGCTTTTTCTCGTCTCAAAATGCTTTTTCTCGTCTCAAAATGCTTTTTCTCGTCTCAAAATGCTTTTTCTCGTCTCAAAATGCTTTTTCACTTCTCAAAATGCATTTTCTCGTCTCAAAATGCTTTTTCTCGTCTCAAAATGCTTTTTCTCGTCTCAAAATGCTTTTTCTCGTCTCAAAATGCTTTTTCTCGTCTCAAAATGCTTTTTCACTTCTCAAAATGCTTCTTGTCCAAAAAATATTTCTTCGCGTCTTGGAAAGTGAATTCAGTTTGAAATTTCACAAAATTCTCGTATTAACAATTTATCCGAGATCCATCAGCATCTAACGGAAAGGGAGACCGAATGAGAGAGAGATAAAACGAGAGGAGAGAGAGAGAAAAAGAGATAGAACGAGAGGAGAGAGAGAGAAAAAGAGAACGAGAGGAGAGAGAGAGAAAAAGAGATAGAACGAGAGGAGAGAGAGAGAAAAAGAGATAGAACGAGAGGAGAGAGAGAGAAAAAGAGATAGAACGAGAGGAGAGAGAGAGAAAAAGAGATAGAACGAGAGGAGAGAGAGAACGAGAAGAGAGAGAGAGAGAGAGATAGAACAAGAAGAGAGAGAGAGAGAGAGAGAGAGATAGAACGAGAGGAGAGAGATAGATAGAACGAGAGGAGAGAGAGATAGATAGAACGAGAGGAGAGAGAGATAGATAGAACGAGAGGAGAGAGAGAGAGAGATAGAACGAGAGGAGAGAGAAATAGAACGAGAGGAGAGAGAGAGAGAGAGAACGAGAAGAGAGAGAGAGAGATAGAACGAGAGGAGAGAGAGAGAGAGATAGAACGAGAGGAGAGAGAGAGATAGAACGAGAGGAGAGAGAGATAGAACGAGAGGAGAGAGAGAGAGAGAGATAGAACGAGAGGAGAGAGAGATAGAACGAGAGGAGAGAGAGAGAGAGAGAACGAGAGGAGAGAGAGAGAGAGATAGAACGAGAGGAGAGAGAGAGAGACATAGAATGAGAGGAGAGAGAGAGAGAGAACGAGAGGAGAGAGAGAGAGAGAGAACGAGAAGAGAGAGAGAGAGAGATAGAACGAGAGGAGAGAGAGAGAGAGATAGAACGAGAGGAGAGAGAGAGAGAGATAGAACGAGAGGAGAGAGAGAGAGAGATTGAACGAGAGGAGAGAGAGAGAGATAGAACGAGAGGAGAGAGAGAGAGATAGAACGAGAGGAAAGAGAGAGAGAGAACGAGAGGAGAGAGAGAGAGAGATAGAACGAGAGGAGGGAGAGAGAGAGATAGAACGAGAGGAGAGAGAGAGAGATAGAACGTGAGGAGAGAGAGAGAGATAGAACGAGAGGAGAGAGGGAGAGAGATAGAACAAGGGGAGAGAGAGAGATTGAACGAGAGGAGAGAGAGAGAGAGAGAGATTGAACGAGAGGAGAGAGAAAGAGAGAGATTGAACGAGAGGAGAGAGAGAGAGAGATTGAACGAGGGAGAGAGAGAGAGAGATTGAACGAGAGGAGAGAGAGAGAGAGATTGAACGAGAGGAGAGAGAGAGAGATTGAACGAGAGGAGAGAGAGAGAGATTGAACGAGAGAGAGAGAGAGAGATTGAACGAGAGGAGAGAGAGAGAGAGATTGAACGAGAGGAGAGAGAGAGAGAGAGATTGAACGAGAGGAGAGAGAGAGAGAGAGATTGAACGAGAGGAGAGAGAGAGAGAGAGATTGAACGAGAGGAGAGAGAGAGAGAGAGATTGAACGAGAGGAGAGAGAGAGAGAGAGATTGAACGAGAGGAGAGAGAGAGAGAGAGATTGAACGAGAGGAGAGAGAGAGAGAGAGATTGAACGAGAGGAGAGAGAGAGAGAGATTGAACGAGAGGAGAGAGAGAGAGAGAGATTGAACGAGAGGAGAGAGAGAGAGAGATTGAACGAGAGGAGAGAGAGAGAGAGATTGAACGAGAGGAGAGAGAGAGAGAGAGATTGAACGAGAGGAGAGAGAGAGAGAGATTGAACGAGAGGAGAGAGAGAGAGAGATTGAACGAGAGGAGAGAGAGAGAGAGAGACTGAACGAGAGGAGAGAGAGAGAGAGAAAGAGATAGAACGAGAGGAGAGAGAGAGAGATAGATCCAGAGGAGAGAGAGAGAGAAAGAGATAGAATGAGAGGAGAGAAAGAGATAGAATGAGAGGAGAGAGACAGAGAGAGATAGAATGAGAGGAGAGAGAGAGAGAGAAAGGGATAGAACAAGAGGAGAGAGAGAGAGAGAAAGAGACAGAACGAGAGGAGAGAGAGAAAGAGACAGAACGAGAGGAGAGAGAGAGATTGAACGAGAGGAGAGAGAGAGAAAGAGATAGAACAAGAGGAGAGAGAGAGAAAGATAGAACGAGAGGAGAAAGAGAGAGAGACAGACAGACAAGCGAGTTAACACAGAAAAAGGATCTCGGCGCTCGCTTTGACTAAATTTTACGTGGCCTAATAGTTCAATACTGACAGTATACTAAAGGCCGTATACAGACTGACTGTATATTCACTAATATGCTGACTGTATATTAACTATTATTCTGACTGTATACTATCTAATATGCTGGCTGTTTATTAACTAATATGCTCACTGTATATTAACTAATAATCTGACTGTATATTAAATATTCTGACTGTATATTAACTAACTTGTTGTCGCAACACTAAGGCTCCGCCTCAGATCTAGACGCATCCCGAGATCTTGCCAGCAGGTGTTCCATCTCGAAAGGCTTAAGAGTGAGGAGGTGGCTCAGGAGTATGCAGTGGCAGTCTCAAATCGGTTTGAAGTGCTTGGTACTCTACAGGACCCTGCTGAACTGTGGGATACCTTTAAGCGAGGAACTCTGTCTGCTGCCGAGGAGTGCCTTGGTGTCCGACCTCGGCGAAGGAGGCGTGTTGTCTCAGACGAGACACTGAACACTATAGAGATGAGTCGTGCTGCCAGACTGGATGGGAACCATGTCTTGCACAGGGAGCTGTCTCGCTCTG